AAAGAAAGAAAGAAAGAAAGAAAGAAAGAAAGAAAGAAAGAAAGAAAAAGAAAGAAAGAAAGAAGGAAAGAAAGAAAGAAAGAAAGAAGGAAAGAAGGAAGGAAGAAGGAAAGAAAGAAAGAAGGAAAGAAAGAAAGAAAAAGAAAGAAAGAAAGAAAAAGAAAGAAAGATAGAAAGAAAGAAAGAAAGAGAGAGAGAGAGAGAGAGGGAGGGAGGGAGGGAGGGAGGAAGGAAGGAAGGGAGGAAGGAAGGAAAACACATATTTAAAAAACTACAAAATATTACTGAGAAAATTAAATTTGACCTATATAAATAGAAACAATTTCATGGGAGTGGAAAAATGCATTATCATTAGAACATCAATCCTCTCCCAATTAATGTACACATTCAACACAAACTCAGTCTAATTCCCAGAAGGACAGCAGGCTTTTAAAAATATTAACAATCTGATTCTAAAACTCATATGGAAATACAAAAGACAGCATAGTCAAAATAACCCTTAAGAAAGAAGAAAACTGAAGGGCTGATGTCAAATTTTAATATAAATTTGCAGTAATCAAAACAGTGTGATACTGTTACAGGGAAAGTATCTCTCAAAGTGTCTGGTATCAAAAGTGTTTTTGGTTTTGGAATATTTGCACATATATGAGATATCTCTCAAGGATGGAACCCAAGTCTAAACCAAAATAACTTACGTTGCATACACCTTATATGCAGAGCTTACAGGTAAATTTGTGGAATACTTTTAGTAAATTTGCAAATAAAAATTTGTGTACCTGACGTCTAGTGTAAAATTTTCTACTTGTGATATCATGTTGGCACACAAAAAGTTTTGGATTTTGGAGAATTTCTGATTTTGGATTAGGGATGCTAGACCTACATGAAAAAAGCCAGATAGAGGCAGTCCCCAATTTAAGATGATTCTACATAGAATGTTTCAAATGTATGATGGGTTTATTGGGGTATTAAGTGGATTTTCAACTTATGATTGGTTTATCAGCTAAACTCTGGAAGAATATGTAGACCAATGGAACACACACACAGTCCAGAAATACACCCACAAATATACAGCCAACTTATTTTTCACAAAGGCACAATAGCAGTGTCATGGAGAAAGGACAGCCTTTTCAACATATGCTGCTGGAACAATTAGATATCCACATCCATAAAATGAACTTACATCCACACCTCACTCCACATGCAAAAGTGTACACAAAGTGGATTGCAGATCTAAATGAAAAACCTAAAACTATAACAATTCTTCAAGAAAGCAGAGAAGAAAACCTTTGAAGCCTTCTGCTGGACAAAGATTTTTTAGATATGAGACACAAAGCAAAATCCATAATTAAACAAACAGATGTATCAGACTTCATCAAAATGAAAAAACCAATATATTATTAACAAAAAGTCAAGCCACAAACTGGGAAAAATCATTCCAAAGAGCATAATTAATAAAGAAATAATATCCAGAATCTATTTTTAAAAACCTCTTAAAACTCAACAACTAAGAATAAAAACTATCTAATTTTTAAATCTTTATAAGCTATCCAAATTGGAAAAGATGAGTCACTAAAGAAGATATACAGGTGGCAAATAAGCACATGCAAAGATGTTCAGCAGTCTTTGTCCTTAGGATAATGCATATTCACACCATAATGACACACACAACATGTACCCATTAGAATGGCTAAAACTAAAAACTAATTAGCAGTACGAACAGCTTGTAATGATATGGAACAATGAGAATTGCCAAATACTGCTGATAGTAATGGAAAACAGTACAAATACTTAAACATTTAGTAGTTTCTTAATAAGGGAACACAAAGGGACAGGAAGAAACTTTTATGGATGATGGGTTTGTTACTGCTCTTGATTATGGTGATGCTTTCAAGTGTGCATACATATGCCAAAACTTATCAAACTGTACATTTACATACATGCAGTCTATTACATACCAGTTATACCGCACTAAAGCTATCAATTGCAGGAATAAACATCTAAGACAATGGCTAGGACACAGAGAAAAAAAGGTATTACCAGATGCAGGAGAGAGCTAGAGCATTCAAATCTTAACCTTATAGCAATGGGATGTGGTAAGCTGAGTTATGAGCAAGAGACAACATCAGATCTGAATTTTTAAAAATTAATAATTATAGTTTCAGAGTAGACCATGGTCTCCAGAAGTAGGGTAGCAGGGAAAACAGTTCTAAGGTTATTGCAGTATTCCGAGTGGGAGAGAATGGTAACCTGATCTGAAAGGAAGGCATAGGAGAGAAGCAGAGTCAACAAAAAGGCTGAGACTGCCCTTCACACTGAGAAAGGTACAAGAGAGTTGTCATAGCTCTTTGGTAGACAATATACATTATTTCTCAGTCTATTTTAACATTAAACATATTTCTGAGATGATCAACATTATCACACATCAGTGCTCTACGATGCAATGCTAAGCAATGTGTGTGACTATTACTGTAGGATACATACAGGGCCTTCCACTTATGTAATACTCATACCATTAAAATCCATGTCGAGTTCTTCATTGAGCAACATATAAGTCATATAATTAGAGTAAAGCCAATCATAATCCTCTGAGGCTACTTCCGATGGCCAACTTATGTCATCAAGATCATCCACTGAATGTATTGGGCTTTTGACCTGTAAGATAAATAATACTGCTTCAAATGTCCTCAAAATATTTATAGAATATACTAGATGTAAAGAAGTGGTATTTATTCATCTTTTTATATGAGCAAAACCACAGGCACTTCTTTTTGTTTTTTTCTCTAAGACAGAGTCTCACTCTGTCGCCAAGCTGGAGTCCAGTGGCGCAGTCTCAGCTCACTGCAACCTCCGCCTCCTGGATTCAAGTGATTCTCCTGCCTCAGCCTCCTGAGTAGCTGGGATTACAGACATGCACCACGACACCCAGCTAATTCTTGTATTTTTAGTAAAGAAGGGTTTTCACCATGTTGGCCAGGATGCTCTCAATCTCCTGACCTTGTGACCCACCCGCCTCGGACTCCCAAAGTGCTGGCTGACAGGTGTGAGCCACTGTACCCAGCCCAAGGCACTTTTATAACAACAGATTTTTCTTAAAAGGCCATTATCAATGGCCACTGTTCCTTAAGCCCTTTTTCTTCTAACTAAATGTCTTTATAACAAAAGATTCTTACTTTACCTTTTGTAATGTGTTTTTTTGACAATAATATTTTAGTTAACTTGCTTTTAACAGTACCTTGTTGTTTTCATTAGATTTCTCTTCAGGCCTGAAAAAAGAAACAATTCCTTTTAGCCAAATAGCAAATACATAAAATAAAAAGAATGTCCAAAACTAGTGTTATTATATAAAATCTCTGCATTTATAAGTTATTCCTTCTATTCATTAAGTTTTCAGGTCATTTTTAAGAGGTAATGTAAATATAATTATTTTCACAAGGAGAAATAAACTACAAACAGAAAGAGTAACATTAAATGAGAAAAAAATATGGTAATAATATCATTACAAAGAATTAAATTTAGATCAAGCTTTCCGACAGTCAAGGCAAAAGAAAAAATATGTTACTTGTATCATGTGATAGAAAGAAATACACCAGGACTTCTCATTGTTGTCCTTTTCAATAAAAACAAGCTTTTACTGGCACTAAATCCTATCTGGAAAACTACTTTTGTTCTTACATGAGAGGAACCCTTTTTTAATGATAATATTTTTTTCAGGACTTACACAGACACTACGCATCATTCTAAGTACTGTGTATGTGTCAAGCTCATTTTAGTGATCATAACAACTCTGTGAGGTAGGTAATATATTAGGGACTCTATAAAAGGAGAAACTAGGCACAGAAAGACCATATAAATGTCCCCAGCCCATTGAGCTAGTCAGTAGTTGACAGAGCATTGAAATCCAAGAATTCTGCCTCCAAAACATGTGTTTTCCAATATGCTGTGAAAGTAATATTTATTTTCAAGTGTTTTTAAGAGATATGATAGCAGATTGAATCCATATTATCATTCTATTTTTGGCTATAATTATAACTAATAATTTCTGAATCTTGCATTTTGTTAAAAAAAAGACTATACAGAGGCAAATTTGGAAACCTACTACTTTCAGAAAACTAAAAACTTATTTTTTAACAGAAATTCATCAATGACATTCATTCATCACTTCAACTGTTTATTCATGCATTCAACAAATACTCATTGAGCATACAATACATGCTGATGACACTATTGGCACAGGGAAACATGGCTTTGACAGTTTAGAACTTTATAATCCGGAATTAATAACCTGTGATAGTGTCAATAGTTTGCTTTTCTCAAATTCATGAACAAAATCCTTCCCTACTCCCCAGAATCTAAACAGCTATAAAGTTCATACACCTGGCCAGGCATTTGGGTTGCTTCCAAGTCTTTGCTATTGCAAATAGCACTTTAGGAGGCCGAAGCAGGCGGGCTGCCTGAGCTCAGGAGTTCACAACAAGCCTGGGCAACATGGTGAAATCTCCACTCTATTAAACTACAAAAAAGTAGTCAGGTGCCTGCTGGTAGTCTTGGCTACTTGGGAAGCTAAGGTGGGAAAATTTCTTGAACCCAGAAGGCAGAGGTTGCAGTGAGCTGAGATCACACCATTGCACTCCAGCATGGGTGACAGAGTGAGATTTCATCTCAAAAAGAAAAAAAGTTCACACACCTGACATTTTGTAGTAAGTACCTCAGCAAATCATAGCTATTCATGATGCTACTCTCAAAGGTACTGCAATATGTACAATTATGAGGGAACAATTAAATTCTATTCAACATGGCCTAAGTATGTGGATGTGTATTATAATTATTTTAAATATCTGTGTGTGATAGTTTAAGTTTTAGGTCATCATCTGCGTATTCAATTACACTAATATGTTACATTTCTGAAGCAATTCTGAAAAAGCAACTCTAACCATAAAACTATGCATGAATAGAAGTTCTAAGGACAATTAGTTTGCTAAACATCCATAAAAGATAATAAATCAAGCTGTCTAATGCTTAAACATGCAACCAAGCAAACAAAATTACATTTCATAAATATTTTCTTCTTATATAGATCATTCCTAACAGTAAAGAAACATACTCTAAAATTTATGTTTTGAAATACAAAAAGAGAGAAAACTCCCTCAATTCCCACATTCTTCTTCAATTATTGCCATTTTTCTATTGTTTTTCCCAGTAGAGTTTCTCTCAAGAGTTGTCTATGTTCATCCACTACAGAGTTCCATAGGTACCATCTATTGAAACTGCTCCTAGTCAAAGTCATTAATCCTTATTGTAATCAGTCTTTCAACAGCACTGATATAGTTGAGTATTTCCAGCTTTAGGAGACTATATTATTCTATTTCCAGGAAAAGTAATCAGGGTTAACATTTCTTCTTAGAGATTTCTTTTCTTTTCTAACTTCGGGGACACATGTGCAGAACCTGCAGGTTTGTTACATAGGTATACATGTGCCATGGTGGTTTGCTGCACCTATCAACCCGTCATCTAGGTTTAAGTCTTGCATGCTGAATGCATTAGATATTTGTCCTAATGCTCTCCCTCCCTGTGCCCTCCAACCCCCAACAGGCCCCTGTGTGTGACTGGCATGTGCTGCATCCCACACTGCACAAGGGTTCAAAGACCTAAGAGGGAACAGCAGGAGATAAAGAAAGACATACAGACAGACATATATAAAGCTGGGCCAGGTGGTCCGAAAAGCTGATGATGTCAGTCTCTTCAGCCCCAACCTGCCTCGGAGTACTTTATATGTTCACAAAGCACATGGCAGAGGGATGGTGCAGTTACTTAGAACAGCCTGTGGTTATAACTCATACTTCAGTTAACATACTTCAGCTAACAACTATTTTGCAGCAAGGTCAGTGAGAGCTGGTTATCTTTTTCTAAGCCTCTCTGCTCTTCTCCGAGACATACAAATTCCCCTATTCTGGTTTCACTTCTCTGGAGTTCACTGAAAGTTTATAGCAGCCTTGCTGCTGATTCCCCCAGAGAGGGTGGGCTACTCTGGCTGTCTACATGTGACGTTCCCCTCCCTGTGTCCACGTGTTCTTATTGTTCAACTCCCACTTATGAGTTAGAACATGCAGTGTTTGGTTTTCTGTTCCTGTGTTAGTTTGCTAAGAATGATGGTTTCCAGCTTCATCCATGTCCCTGCAAAGGACATGAACTCATTCTTTTTTATGGCTGCACAGTATTCCATGGTGTATATGTGTCACATTTTCTTTACCCAGTCTATCATTGATGAGCATTTGGGTTGGTTCCAAGTCTTTGCTATTGTAAATAGTGCTGCAATAAACATAGGTATGCATGTATCTTTATAGTATAATGATTTATAACCCTTTGGGTATATACCCAGTAATGGGATTGCTGGGTCAAATGGTATTTCTGGTTTTAGATCCTTGAGGAATTACCACACTGTCTTCCACAATAGTTGAACTAATTCACAATCCCAACAACAGTATAAAAGCATTCCTGTTTCTCCACAGTCTTGCCAGCATCTGTTGTTTCCTGACTTTTTAATGATTGCTATTTTAACTAGCCTGAGATGGTATCTCATTGTGGCTTTGATTTGCATTTCTCTAATGATCAGTGATGATGAGGTTTTTTAATACGTTTTTTGGCCATGTAAATGCCTTCTTTTGAGAAGTGTCTGTTCATATCCTTTGCCCACTTTTGACGGGGTATTCCTGGAGATTCTTATAAAGGACTTACATATTTTACCTTCTTTGATCCTCATCTATTTAACTTAAACTGCTGTCATCATTTACTTGTAGCAGAGCATGAGTTAGTAAATTGACCTTCTCAAACATGGGTGTAACCACAGATTATTTGAGTTCCTTTTTTTTATTTGGATGTTTCTTTACTTTCTTCATATGCAAGGCAAAGCCACTACTTTAAAAACTATAAAAAGCCAATGTTTTATAATAGTCTAATGACAATGAACAAAAAAACCCACAATTTTTGTAAACCTCCAACTCTTTTCCATCTCAATTCACTGATTAATTTTAAAAATGTTTATGAAGTACAAATAACATAAAAAGAAATATGCATTCCCTGACTCAAAAAAAAGTAATACACAATAATGATACAATGTGTTATATAAGACTTCATACATAAAAAGTTGTATTTTAGCATGCAGGCTAACGCCTTCCTTTAAAAGAAGCAAAATATAAGAGAAGCCCACTAATAAAAACAGTGAGAGAAAATCATTCCAGTTAGAGAACAGGATGTGAGCACAGAAATTAAGCACATGAAGTCTAGAAGTGTATTAGGAACTTGAAAAAAAAAGTATAAAATACTTGAAAGATAAGAATAGAAGGTGAATGCTACATGACACTTGAATGCTACATTAAAAAGCTGGAGTCCACCAAATACAAGCAATGACTGTTAAACATGAAAGTCATAATTAGATTTGGGCTATATTTCTGTTTCTATTACTCAATATAATAAAGTTTACCTCTAAATGAAGTTTTGAAAATAGCTGTGGCACACATAACATGAAAGATGAAATCAGGAAAATGTCTTGAGGGAGTATGTATTAGTCCATTTTCACACTGCTATTAAGAAATACTGAAGAGTGGATAATTCATAAAGGCTAAGCTACACTTTGGCCCCTTTTAGCCACAGCTGGACCTGCAGCAGCCTAACACAGGGCACCAAGTCCCGAGGCTGCACATAGTAGCAAGGGCCTTGGTCCAGCCCATGAAACCATTCTTTCCTTTCAGGCCTCCAGGCCTGTGATGGGAGTGGCTGCCAAAAACTCTATGACATGCCCTGGAGACACTTTTCTCATTGTCATGGTGATTAACATTCCACTACTCATTACTTATGCAAATTTCTACAGCCAGCCTGCATTCCTTCCCAGAAAATGAACTATTTTTCTGTTCCACCCCAAAGTCAGGGTATAAATTTTCCAAATTTATGCTCTGCTTTCTTTTTAAACATAAGTTCCAACTTAAAACCATCTCTTTGTGAATTCATAAAACTGAATGCTTTCAGAATCAACCAGTTCATCTCTTGGAATGCTTTGCTGCTTAGGAATTTCCACCAAATACCCTGAATCATCTCTGTCAAGTTCAAAATTTCACAGATTTCTAGGGCAGGGGCAAAATGCTGGGAATTTCTTTGCTAAAACATGCAAGATTCACCTTTGTTCCAGTTCCCAAAAAGTTCCTAATCGCCATCTAAGACCACCTCAGCCTGGACTTCATTGTCCATGTCACTATCAGTATTTTGGTAAAAA